TTCCCAGGCTTGCCCTTGGTGCTTTGCTGCGGATGAGGTAAACCACGGGCCAAGCCTGTGGTTGAGGCATCGATTTGCACAGTAGGTTAGGTGCCACTCAGCACTTTTATTGTAAACAAAATAAAATAAAATCCTCTGGGGTGGATTTTGACCATGACATCCCTGCAGGCACCCAGGAGATGGCGGTGGGACCCGTGGGCACCCACGGCCACGTCTCACCCTGATGTCCCGCGGCAGTGGTCTGGGAGTGGAGACCCTGGCGGGGAGCAGCTCCTTTGCAGCAGAAGCAGAAAGCCTTAATCCCTTTAAATTTCTCTTTATCGATTGTGGATTTATGGCTAAGCCACTCGCTGTGGAAACGCATGAGCTTCCCCCTCGCAAGTGCATTAGCAGGCAGCGGGAGCCCACCCGGGGTCTGCTCCAGCTCCCAGCGGGGCTACAGACGGGGGGGCTGCCTGGGTGTGCAGCACCCTGCAGCTGCACGCAGGTGTCCCCGCTGGGATGCAATGGTTTGTCACCTCCGCGTGGCCAGGGTGACCCCTGGGTGCTGGTGGCAGTGAGTGGGAAACGGGCACCGCTCGCTTTTTGGGTCCCCCCCCAAATTCCCCTGGGGGTCCCACGCCCTCGGGCTGTGGCTCACTGGGCTGGCGTAAAAGGGCTTTCTGTTATCGATCCCCAGAGCACAGAATCTGCTGCTCCAGAGGATTTTCTTCCCAGCAATCAATGGAAATGTGGTTATCAGGAAAACGTGTTTGACCTGGACAAGTGTTTTAGCGATGTAAACAGAGCTGGAGTGGGGGGGAGAGGAGATAAGGAGCGCGCCGAGTGGAGACAGGCAGCGGCACAAAGGCTGCGAGATGAGAGGGGCTGAGATAAGGAGCGGGGAGGGAGGGGAGAGGAGTCTGGGGAAGAGGTGGCAATGAGGAGAGGAAGGGGACAGGAGGAGTGAAGGAAGGAAGGGGATGATTTCCTTAAAGGAGCACCAGGGCAGGTTTCCATGGAAATGGGTGCTGGCAGGGTGGCGGTACGGGTGATGCTCTGCCTGGCCCTGGCCGTGGGGACCATGGGGACCATGGGACTGTCCCCGCCAGTCCCCAGGTGGGGTGATGCTGTCCCTGTCCCTCACTTTGGGAGCCCTGGGGTGGCATCCATCAGCTCGTAGTGCTGCAGCTCCCCTCTGCCAAACTTTTCCCCTTCATTCGCCTCCTCCCTCTTTCCTCACAACTCAACCTGCGAGACAGCCATGTCAAAGAGGCCTTGATTAGAGGCTTTAATTAGACCCTGGCCACCAGACTGATGGTCCTGTGTACACCTCAGTGTCATCCAAAGGGGCTTTTGCAGCACCCACAGCGAGCCTGGCGTACGTGGATCTCCCTCATTTCAGGGCTGCACGCTGCAGCTGATGGCCAGCCCTCCACGTGAGCCCCAGGTGACACCGGGACCGGTCCCAAGGTGACACCAGGAGTGATCCCAAGGTGACACCAGGAGTGATCCCAAGGTGACACCAGGTGTGATCCCTTGCTTCCCCGACCTGCTGCTGGGATTTTGGCTGCCCCGTTGATGCCCACACACCCCACGCTCTGTGCCAGCCCCACCGTGCGGGACTGATGGGAGCTGGTGAGACGCTGGCCACAGCGTCAATACCAGTCTGTTTCCAACGGGTTCCAAAAATTAATAACAAATAGGGCTGGAGAGAGGACAAGTTCTGAAATTGGGGTTGGATGGCCTGGTCAGACAAATGTATTTCAGGACAGACCTGAGCACCAGTGTGGGCAGAAGGGATGCGTGGGGCGACCAAGCAAAGATGCCCCTGCCACCAGCACCCACGATGCAGGAGTGACAGCACCCAGAGGGGCTGAACAGTTCCAGGGCTGGACGGGGCAATGAATTTTAACCCCCCAAAAGTGCTCTGTGAAGCTAAGGGACTCCACCACTGGAACCAGGAGCAGAAACCACGCGATTAGTAATTTACACAGCTGTGTTAAGCAGGGCAGCAGGGGAATTAAAAGAGATCCAGCTCTGAGGCTTCGCGGTACAAACTGAGCCTCCCAGTCCTCCCTCCTGTCCCGCGGAGCCGCCGATGTCCTGGATAGGGGTTTGCCCCATGCTCGCCTTACAGCATCGCTCCAATCGTTACTGTAATTACACAGTAATTACCATGTTCTCTCTCTCTCTGCACTTTGTCCCCATCACAGGCGCCTCTTGATTATCGGTAACTCCGGCACCGCAGCTGAATGCAAAATTCCCATTTCCCAGTAATTTGCAGCGCGGTGGAATAGCTGTAACTAAAGCCACACCGACTTTGTGATTGTGGGGTTCATTACTTAATTACCTAGTTAATTAACCTCCATCACTGGGGGGAGCAGAGGTCTCCAGGGCACTCAGACAGCTTAGGGAAACTGAGGCACAGGCACTGAGCCAGGGGCTTCAGCTAGGGCCAGTGTTACAAATACATTACAGGTAAAAACCTGACACTAATTGAGCACGCGAAGGGCAGGGCTTCTTCCAGCAAGGCTGTACCTGATGCACAGGGTTTGGGGACACCCACCCCAGGATTTGGGGACACCCATCGTGCTGCGAGGGCCAGTACAGCCCTTCATCCCGCAGGTACCCAGCTCTGCACCTTCTGTTGTCACCCTAACAGCCACGTCCCCACTCGGAGGGAAGAGCCAGGGGATTTCTCTACTAAAAAAAGGCTTTTTTTCAGCTTCAAGATGTGCTGTGCCTGGCATGGGGTTGGGGGGAGGAATGGTGGGGGAGCTCTTGGTGAAAATGAGCCCCCAAAATTTCGCTTAGCAGCCCGCGGGGCAGGCTGGGCTTTGATCAGCACACGTGCATGGGTGGCCTTTTTTTGGCTGCGCCTGCAGCACGTGGCTGGAAGAAGTCCAGTCCCTGGGGCGAGCACCCAAAAATGACACAACGGAGGCGGGAGTGAGCACAAGGAAAATTGTCACCCTCCGGGGAGGGAGAGGCAGGGGAAAAAAATGCACACAGGGCCAGGCAGAACACAGTGAGGCAATCAACCCTCCTAGGCTATGTTTTTGCTGCAGGCAAGCTGGCGTTTTGCAGCACGGCTCGGTGCCAGGGCAAGGTGGGTGTCACAGGTGAAGGCTTTGGCAAGGAGATGAGGAGCAGGAGGGACTTTTCTCTTCCTTCACCCCTCCAGGTGAAGGAATTTGGGAAAAGCAGGGTGCCCCTGCACATCGCCACTCCCTTGATGCTGATGCGCAGGAGAAAACTTCTCTGTTAGTAGGCTAAATCCCCAAACCAGGTGAAAAGTCCCCAGGTTAGGATGCTGAGGTGCTGTGCCCACACCGATCTGCCACCAGGCTCTGCATGGAGGAAATGTCACCAGGTGCTGTGCTGGTGGGGACTCAGGGCTGGGGCCAGGAGCACTGGGCAGTGATGGGCACAAGAGGAGAGAAGCAATGGGGGTGGTAAACAAGATCGATGCACAGATTAAAGAGGCAGAGGGAAGAGAGGCAAAGGTTAAGAATATAAATAGGTAACGCTCCAACCCAGATTGCGAGGGAGAGGCGAGGGAGGTTAGATGGGAATAAAGCAGGGGCTGAGTCGTTGGAGAGCTGGGTAAAAAGAGAGCATGGAAGTGATGGGGAGAAAAACTGGGTGGTTAAATAGGCAGTGAGATGAGAGGAGCAGAGGATGGGGACAGGGTCGCCATCACCGCCCAGACACCACTGCCTCTCACAGCCTGCGGGGTGGGGAGACGACAGGAAAGGAAGCAAACCCCGGCATCTCCCAAATGCAGCTCATTTGAATTCCCCTGCCAAGCCTCAAGTTACTTTATACAGCCTCCTATTTTCTCGGCTATCTGCTGAAACATTAATTTTACAGCCCTAGTCAAAAAAAGCTGTTGGGAACAAAGCAAGTTGCACAGTGGTGCTGATTCCCTGCACTGCAGACCGACACCATGGTGCCTTCCCTCCCCCCGTAACGACACCCCGATGGCTCTGCAAAGTGGGCTGGGCTATTAATTGCATCGCCTTGCACCAGCCAAAACCCAGAGCAGCACCACAGGGCTGGGCACGGGCTCCTTTTGCTCTGGGGAAGAGAAGCAGAGGATGCACCAAGCCCTCCGGCGTGGGTGCTGCAGGAGGCGAGGGCGGTGGTACCCCACCAGGACGCCCCAGCAAAGCATGGGGGAAAGTTCCTGCTGGCACAGCCCAGGTGCCGTGCTGGTATCTAGGTGTATAAGAACTGGGTGCATAGATATGTGCTCCTATTAACGCTGCTGTTTGTGTTTTCTGCTGGTTTCAGGGGGCACAAGAAGGGATGAGGCCGTGGAGCCTCTGCAGGGCGTCACCGTGACAGTTTTTGCAACTTCTCAACCTGCTGAGTCACGGGTTTGGTGGCTCCAAATAGGTTCTCATTAATGTATCAGGGTGATGGGCTCACTTGGTTGTCCATTATTCATTTTTTATGATACATAAAACACTTTCCAAAAGCCAAAAAAAAATAAAATCCAGGTGATTTACGCCCCTTTGTAATTAGATTTGGTAATTAGGCTCTCCTTAGTAATACTGCAGATTTTTGTCCAAGCTGCAGGAATTTTAGGGCCTTGCTCCTTCCTCCCTCCAGCTTAGGCAGTGGGGCAGCACATCTCTAGGATCATAGAGTCACAGAACCTTCTGGAAAAGACCTTCAAGATCACCAACTCCAGCCATCAACCTGACCTACCAAGTTCTAACCCACATCCCTCGGTGCCACGTCCTCATCCCTGAAATACCTCCAGGGATGGGGACACCCCACCTCCCTGGGCAGCCTGCTCCAGTGCTTGGCTACCCTCCCTCCACATGAAGAAATTTTTCCCAATGTCCGGTCCAACCTGCCCTGGCACAGCCCCCAAGAGGGTCAACCCCAAGAAGGGCAGAACTGGTGGGACCCAACAACTGTTGTGCAGTTATTAGGGAAATGAACAAGAAAAATTGGATTACTTTAAAAAAAAAAAAAAAAAAAAAAAAAAAAAAAAAAAGCTAGCATGAGAAGCAGCATTTGATGCTTTGCCATTGCTTGGAGTCACATGGAGCGTGGCAATTAAAAGCTGGCGAGGCTTGATTGGCAGGAATGGGAGATGGTGCCAGCGCCTGGCACGGCGCGGGTCTCTCCCACCTGCCTGTCCTTCCTGACCCCTCAGACCTCCACCGGATGCCAAGCAGACGAAGGCTGCTAAATCAGCTGCAGTCCTTCCCCGTTACTTCATTTATTTTATTTTTCTAAACCGGCAGCTTGGAAATAAGAAGGGCCCTCGAGGCAGAGCTGTCTCCAGGTTGAGTTATTTCGCCCCATCCCTCTCGGCATCCCCTTTGCCCTTCATCCTCGGGCTCTCCAGGTGCCTCCACTTGCTCTTCGGTGGGATAGGGTGTGCTATGATTCGCATCTGGGCGTTGCATTCAAAAGGAGAGATGATGTTTTGGGAATTGTTTTCTGTTCCGTTTAATTCGTTTTTAATCAGCTGACGGTAACGATTTGATACAGAGCATCTTCCCGAGCGGAGGTTAATCACTGCTGAGCAAGCCTTTCACTCTGCGTTATTTAGAGAGGCGTTTTAGAGAAATACTGTTGGAGAGGCTATTTAACCACGTATTTGTTTTCACTGTGTACACAGCTTTTTCATGGGCTTCCCAGCATCTAATGTGAAGAGATTTTATTTATTTTTGTCATTTGGAGGGAATTCAGCCCTGCCAAACTGCCCAGGATTGGTGGCTCCTGAGGCTGCAGTAATCTGTGCAGACCATCTGGGCTGCAGACCTGGGGGGCTGGAAAGCCCTGTCCCCACCAGCCGAGCTCCAAATCTCTGAGTATTGGAGATATAGGGAAAGGGAATGACCCCATGGCTGTACCAGCATGTACCAAGTGCCAGTTTTCTCTCTGGGAGTGTTTGTGGCTTGATGATGGTGTGGGAGCCAGCTCTGAGCCGGATTTGCCAGCCCCACAGAGCAGGACAGGGGGAGCAAACCCCAAACCCAGCTAGCAGCTGGGGTCTTGCAAATACTAAATTGCTCCTTCAGGAGGGTATCTGGGCACGCTCAGAAACCCGCTGCCAGCAAAGCCCCTGGGGCCAGTCCTTTGCAAGGCATCGGCAGCAGTTCTCAGCCCCTTGGCAGTACCCAGGGAGCAGAGCATCCTGCATCAGCCCCTGCGCACTTCTGGTTCCATCCTGCTGCCAGGATTAAAGTGTCTGTCTCGAGATGGTGAATTATCCCTCGGCTGGTGTATAGCTAATGTAATTAAGTGTTGTTTAAAGACTCCCCAAGGTGCTCCCTTCCCAGCCTTGCGGTTTGCAGTGGGCTTGCTCTTAACCACAGCTCGCAAACCCAAGGCAGCAGCCCCATGGGGCTCTACAGCGAAAAAAGGGCTGGGCCCCCAAATCATTTACTGACCTCACCAAATGGTTTCCATTTAATTAAAAAACAACAAAACCAACAACCAGAAAAAAAAAAGAAAAAAAAAGCTCCCAGGTGCTCCCTCTCCAGATGTTCAGCATGCTTGTGCCTCGGTGGCACCAGCTCTTCCAGCACAGGTTTGCTGGCTGTGTTGTCTGAGTCTTTAAAGTGTTGGACACCACACTGCCCACTTTCTGCCACTTCCTTGTCTTTTTTAGCAAAAAAAAAATATCAAAATAATGCGGTTTAGTGGTTGGAATGGACAGCAGGTTATGGCAGTGAGGCAGCTCGCTCAGGCGAGCCCCGCTGATGCCTTTTAAGAGGCAACCTGTGGCTACAGATTAAAGCTGGAAGCCCAGAGAGTCAGGCTCCTTCCTGGCCCTGCTTTAAACACAGCGCCCTGTGCCTTGCCAGCTCGTCAGCCAAATCCTTTCCTTTGACACCCAAATTCCCCACTGCCCTCTATTATACCCATCCTATAGCAATCTAGAAATAGTAGCAGAGCAATGAGAACTGCACCATCTCCCTTCATTTATTCCACTTCAGCCGAGCTAGAATTAGCAAAGCCCCACCAGTGTATTTATTCCCATTTTTCCCTTTTACCCTAAGCCGTGTTCCCTCCTAGCATCACTGATCCAAACAGCACAGAGTCTGATAACGATAGGCAGCGTTCCCCCCTGCCATGGGCTGCATTATTTATGCACTGCATTGATCGTGGGAAATAACCCCAGGGCATCCGAACATGATCGAAATCGCAGCTCGCCCTGCCGACGTTAATTACCCGTCAGCCCGGCATAATTAACAGTTCCCAACACCCCAATTCCCCAGCTCCACACACAGCCCCTGAGTGCTGCCTGCAGACGGACGGGGCCTGGGGATGCCCAGCACATGTTGCAGCATCGCTTGCTGCAGATGGGCATCGCTCGCACTGTAATCCACGTGTGCTGCACCAGTCACCCAAATCCACCTGCCTTTGCTCCCTGCCATCCCCCTCTGCTCTTCTCCACAGCTTTCAGGAGATCTTTAGTGCCTTCTTTAGTGTTTCCCTGCCTTGACAGTTCTTGCAGGAATAAATGAAATCACCTCTCAATCTTCTTGATAAACTAAACAGGCTCAGCTCTCTGAATCTCTCGCAGAGAGGTGGTTTCCCGATCCTCTGGTAATTCTGTGGCTCTGTAACCTGCAGGCTTCTGCTCAGTGCCATAGGGTGGACACAGCAGTGCCCTGTTCCTACACAGCACCCAAAATGGTGCCCAAAACACCCAGGCTCTCTCCCACCCTTTCTCTCCAGGTAGAGCAGTGCCCCAGAGGTGGAGGAGCCCAGCCCAGCACCTTCACCAGCACCAGGTTTAAACGTTCCTGGTTTTTGCCCGTGATATTTTTGTGCGGCCACACACGGAGAAGGGGCTGATAAGCCAGGAAGGTTTCATAAGAAGCTAATGCTCTGCCCTGCCCTGTTCCCGTGATATTCAGTGAGATACAATACTGCCAGATCCCAAAAGCCATGGAGCAAGGGGTGCAGTGCTGGTGCAGCCCTCCCTGTGCTGGGCAAGAGACTCTCCCCCTACTATTAATGCCAATGAAGGAGCTTTTGAATGCCTCTCCTGAGTGAATAAGGTGGTTTCAGGAAGCTGCTGGTGCTGTGGCTGAAGGGTGGGTGGTTTTGGCAGTGCCCAGAGCACAGCAGCCACAAGAACAGCACCGACAGGATGCACCCTCAGGGCTGCACCGCGGGAATTTGTGGAAGTGGGCACCTTTGCAACAAAAACCCTTCTTCCACTAAAACCACGGGGAAAATGAAAGGAATAAGCCATGCCTGGAGCCGTTGGAAGCTGTAGGCATGGAAAATCAGGGAGGTTGGGGATGTTCCCCTGCCTGGGCAGGAATGGGGGCACTGATGGTGGGAGGAGGTGGTCGCACCCACCAGGGAAGCTGGAGGCTAATGGAAGGATAATGTCAGCAATTAGGGCTTTAGCAGAAGTGAAAATGCTGTAATTGTGATAGAGGATGGGAGGAAGATACCCACTCAGAGCTGGTGCAAATCAGTGCAATGCCACGGACCAAAGCATCAGCTCACACCCAGGCACCAATCCCAACCATGACAGGGAAAGGAAAATGGCTGATAAAGCAAGCAATAACAGCAAAATAAATAAATAAATAAAATAAAATAAAATAAAATAAAATAAAATAAAATAAAATAAAATAAAATAAATCAGTAAAACCGTAATGAAGACTAATTAAAATATTGCCATCATCACAGGGATGATGCTGAGCACAGGGCAGGTGGTGATGACGGCGCTACCCAACAGAGGCAGTGCAGAGCGGTGCTGGTGGGGGGGGGGGGGCTTCTGGAGACACCAGCTTGTCGGGATGGAGGAGTAGGTCCTGGAATTGTGATGGGAATAATTATGACTCTAATGGGGTGGTAATAAAGATAATGGAATCGTAATTGAGGAGGGGATGGCTGTAGAGGAGGAGGAGCAGATAACAGCCTTGTAAAGGAGATGATAAGGAAGATAATGGGTGGTAATGGAGTTGTTGTTAAAGGTAATGGAGTTATAATGAGGTGACTGCAGCAGGTAGGAGAGACGGTTGGTTTATCGAGGACCATGATGCAGAGAGGACTGTATTTCTAATTCATCATGACAGGCAGTGGTGGAGGTGACCATGGAGCTAATAATAACTGAAGGGGTCAACTGTTCAGACAAATGTGGACACGTAGCGAGCACGGCAGGACCATGGCCCTGGGGACGCAGTGCGGAGGTGGGGGCAGCAGGGATGTTGCACTGCAGCACGAGCACGAGGTGCAAGGCAGAGACACAAGAACAAGTCCTGAGCAAGCCCTGTGAGATTTGCTTTAGGGCAGGGCTGTCCTTCAGGGCTCTGAACACATGAGACGGGGAGCAGGGGGCAGCTGGTGGCGAGGATGAAGATGGATGAGGATGAGGATGAGGGTGAGGATGAGGATGAGGATGAGGATGAGGATGAGGATGAGGATGAGGATGAGGATGAGGATGAGGATGAGGATGAGGATGAGGATGAGGATGAGGATGAGGATGAGGAGCCCCTGCAGTGGAGCTGACGGTGACTGGGACCAGCTGGAGACTGCAGCAGGACCTAGCAAGGGCAGGGCTGGTCCTTGCGGGCAGAGCTGCGATGTCAGCGCCTGGCCAGGACAGACACACGAGTGAGCTCATCTCAGCAGCACAGGCACTGCCTCAGGGGACGAGGCAGAGGGCAGCTGATGCCACCGTGCCTCGCGGTTGTCATTGTCAGCCACGTGCATCGGCTCGTCTCCTCCTGAGTTCAGCACACAGTCCCCAGCCCTTCCTGCAGTCCTGTTAATGCCTGGTTTGGAGTTGCTCTAAGTGATTTCTCCATCACCCTTGTGCACCTCCACCTTGGTGCTTGCAGCCTGCTCATGCCATTTGCTGAGCTCGTCACTGTTTCTGACTCCATTCCCTCTCCACATGAGGTTGCTCACCAACATCACCAGCCTTAACCCACCCCTTAGAGACATCTGGGCTGGAGACCCTCAATTCTCTCCCCAGATGGCTTGAGGGAGGTGTTTCAACCACCTCTCCTCTCCTCGTGGTGAGGACCACACCAGACCAGGTTCTTTATCCTGCTTTTGGGACTTGCACACATCAGTTCAAGCCTCATCACCAAGCTCTGGCATATCTCCTGCACCTCAAGAGCAGGTATCCCATCATAGGAGCAAATTGGTTTCACATTTGTTCTCAACAAACCTGTGCTGGTTGCTGCTTTGTAGCCTCATTACCCTCCAGGTTCTAACAAATTGATTGCTTAATGACTTCTTGTAGTTCTCCCTGCCTTCGCATAATGCTCCCTGTTTTGGAGCCAGGCTTCCAGTTGCCCTGCTGAAGAGATGCTCACTTGCCACCAGCAGCTCTTGGAGAAACCTCGTAAGCCCACCATGATTACCCTGGCCTAATTAGCTGGCTGGGAGGGAGGGCTGAAGCACAGCCCACCGTGGATCCTCTCGGCTCCCCCCCTCCACGGAGGCAGTGAGCTCGGTCTCTCCTTAGTTCCCCTTCCCTGTCCGATGCATTTACAAAAAGTTTTTTTCACAGCCTTTAGGTTGATGGCCTGTTGGAGCTTGTCCTGTTCATACCTAGCTGAGCATCTGCTCTGCCAACCCCATCACTGGGTTTCTGCCCTCCTTTCCCCTTTTCTGCCACCCTTTTTGTCTGAGCCACCTTCCTGCTATCCCACTGCATCAGGAAGGCTTGTTTTGGTGCCCCTAGAGCAGTCACTTTATGTAATTGCAAGCTTCCCTGCTCTCTTTATCCCTCAGATCATCTTCCCTAGCGATGTTACCTACCAGTTCCCTGAGTTTTTTTCGGTCCATTATCCTCGCTCTGCTGTTCTCACTCCTTTTCTCGTGGCACTGTGTGCTCCGCTATTTTGTAATTTATTTCCTGAAATTACCTCCCACTTTTTTTTTTCAGACAGTTCTCTATTAGCCCAAATTAGAGCCAGAATAGCAGTTTCTCCAGTAGCTTTCTCCATCATTGGAAACGAGATGTTGCCATCACATACCCTGAGATCTGAATGGCTCCATCCTGTCGTACCTCTCCCATGAGGTGTCCATGTAGTCGAAGGCACTGTTGCCGTGTGGTTGCACGGTGTGGAGGCACCTGAGGTTAGAAAAGCCCCTCGCATTCACCCACCTCCCCACCCTAACTCACGTGAGGTCTGGCCCAACAGTTTCACCCTATTTTGGCCACCCCTTCCAGGTTACCCACATCCAAGTAACCTGCTGCCGGCCCCTTGCTAACCTTCAGGAGAAATGCCCTGTTCTTGGAGCCCCGTTTTCCTTCATTCCTTTGGGGCCAGTTTCCTTCTTCCCAAACAAGCTGCACTGGGTCCTGTTTATCCCCGTAATCCTATTTAAGACCTACAGCAAAGCTCTAAGACTACATCACCCTTTTTATTTGCCATGCTCAACCACACTCTCCTTGTTATATGCTTTCTCATCCCCTTTCTGATCTCACCACTTTTTGTTTTTCCCTGACATTTTTTGGCATTTCTCTGGCAGGTGTTTGGCACATCTTTGCTTTGCCAGCAAGCTGGCATGACCAGAATGCCTTGGCAATGGCCATCGGAGCTCAAGGACAGGCCATCACGATGGTAAGCCTGCCTCCACCAGCCTTTAGGTCATCTACCCCAAAGCATGCCTCTGCTTCTAGGGGATAGGATTTCATGGGTTTAAAGTAACATCTGTGCCTGTCTGAGAAAGGGAGAAACATCCTTTAAATGCTCAAGCACCTGTGAAAAAAAAAAAAATAAATGAAAGTGCTAACAAGTAAAAATAAATAAATAAATAAATCAAGACAAAAAAATGAAGAAAAAAAAAAAAAAGAACACAGGAGATTGCACCTGCCTCCAGGATAACCTAGGAACATCTTTTTTATCACTGAAAGTCCATTTCCAGTCGAAGATGGGACTTTTTTTTTTGGTCTTAATCAGTTTCCCAATAGAGAAACATGAAGTCGAAATAACCCAACAGACCAAAGGACAAAGCAATTGCAAGTCCCCTGGCTGGTTGCCAAATCAAACTCTGCTATATACGGGGGAAAAAAAAAATGAAAGAAAAAAAAAATCACTACAACAGGTCTCCCAAAGGGAAAACAGGCAGTGAGGATGAAGGATAGGAGGGGAAATTGGAAGAGAAAGTTGGCCTGACTTCAGGACCGGCGTGTGCACAGATCCTTTAATGGCTAACCAGCCCAGAGACGTTGGCAGAAAAACTCCCATTTGTGTTATCACCACAAGTTCCAGCCCTGATAAATAATAAGACAGAAAAACTGTGAGCACTGTCATGTAGCAAAAATCTTCAACCCCAAGGTGCTGTCATTGCAGGAGAGGTCTGTAGCAGGGAGATGATGTCCTATGTCTCCGGTACGGGGTTGGCCAGGATGCTCGGAGAGTTCCTCGGAGATGCATGGGTCTGGGATGTTCACTGGTCATTCTGGGTCAGGGCTGTTGAATGTAGGGGAAAAAATATATATATTTCTCTCTATATATATATATAGAGAGAGAGATATAATAAATGGGGCCATGGGGCCAGGAGCTGCACCAGGACCAGAGGCACCAGGGTTCCTGCACCATCATGGGCGAGTGTCGACCCATCTGCTGGTGGCATCCTCACACCTCATCAGGTGGCTGGAGAGAAAATGGAAAAATAAAAAAAGTCAGGGGGATAAAATCCCCAGTATGCAGGAGACGTTATTACTGTGATTTTGGCTCTTGTAGATGCCCAAGTACTGGCGTGCATGGTCTGAGTTTCCTAAGAAACTGTACCCTGTGGAAAAGTCCCACAGGATATAATAGCAACGCAGCTAGCGGGGTTACCCTGAAACCTGTAGGATTTAATAGCTCGGGTTGCTCTTTCTAAGAGTGGTTTTAACTAGCCAATACATTTTTATGGCAGGGAGAATAATTCTCTCACTTTCATAGAGCATGAGCCACAAAAAACCTGTAAGAAAATCATTTTCTATTAAATTCTTTATTACTTTCAAGGGGACAAAAAGCAAAGAAATGCAACCGAAGTTACATTTTCCATTAGTTGCAGATTCTTTTTAATTCTTAGTGTAAGCCTTGCAAGGATTTATGTGTCGGACTCCCCACTCTGTATCCATGGTCCTTTGGTTTGGAATAAAATTGGGGTACGTTGCAGCCCCAAAGCTGGGCATTACTCAGTCCATGTGCGCACAGATCTGTGCATGTTCAGTCCTTACCCAGGGCTCGTGGACCCTGCCAGGCACCTCTTTGCATGCTGGAGCTGGTATTAAACTGGGGGGGGAACAAAAATTTGCTGGCTCTGAGATGCCCTCCCTGTGGCAGAGTGAATCACCAGGACAGCGCAGCCTTGGATCCATGAGCTGTTTCACCTGGAAGTCAGCCCAGGCTGAGCCAGTGTTTGGGCAAGCAGGAGCTCTGATGTTGCACCACCAAGGGGTTGTCTAAAAATAAAATAAAATAAAATGAAAATATATTTTCAGCCCCAGCCCTTCCCCAGACTCCCATGGAGCACAGGGCCATCTCCTCGCTCCTCTCCGTCCCAAGGACCAGGAGGTTGGAAAGTCAGCTCTGGGTTGGAGGGAATGGGAGCTGGAGCAAAGGGAGCAGATTTGCTCCCTCAGGTCCTTACCTTGTCCCAGGTCCCATTTTTCTGTGGATTTTGCAGGATCAGCTGGCTGCCAGCTGCAGGACCAGGCAATTCAGCAACCAATAGGTTTTTATGGATATTTAAGCTTTGATTTAAGCTCCTGCTGTCATGGCAAATAGAAAATGCTTTCTGACATGCCAAGAAAGGCTGACATGAAATGTAGGCATGTTTCCATCACCTACCCACCCCCCAGAAAAAAATAAAATGTGCTAACAAGAACATAATTACAAACCTGACACCAACAGCCAGAGGTGTGCAGGCACAGGCTGAGCCACCAAATAAATGCTGGAGGAATGGATCCTGTTGCCGTCAGCACTTTTCACTAAAGTATTTTGGGTAAAATAAATAAATAAATCATTTTAAATCAACTCAACATGAACTTGCATCTTCTTACGGTGGGAGCTGTATTGGGTCTGCCCCAGCACCCAGGCACAGGACAGACGGACAGACCCAGTGCCAGTGCCCCCGTGGTGAAGAAGTCACTGTCTTTTTGCTGTATTTAGGGTGTGGGAGTGGCAGCCCCTGTCCATCTCAGTTAGTGGCTGTGTCCTGCTCCTGGCTGGCACCAGGAGGTGTTTGCTCGCAGGTTTCTGCAGAGGCACCACACAACCAATAATCCCTGGCTTTCGCACTGCTGCACTCCAACTCTGCAAATATTTTTGGCTATTTCCCCCCTTCCTACAGTGCTGCAATTGCTATCCAAGTGATCTCGTTTCTCAGTTCAGCAAGCCCTACAGGAAGACCAGAGTGTGTTATTTATCATTATTTATCTACCCTTTGGATCAAAAGGGAAAGGGCAGCAAACGCAGACAAGAAAGAGTGCTCCAGATGACTGTGGCTAATCTGGGCTTAGAAATTATAAAATTCACCAACTCAGAGAAATAAGAAATGCTGAATCAGCCTTTCCTGATCAGCAAAGGGCAACTGTGTATGTGCATGGGTTGGCACTGGGGATGGAGGGAGGAGGGAGCAGAGCACAATGAACTTTTCTGCTGGTGACAGGGGTTGTGTCACATCACTGCCACAGCACTGAAGGGGTCTCCTTCAGCATGCAATTCTTCAGAAGAAAAAAAAAAAAAAAAAAAAAGAAAATTGATTTTAAGTGCTTGCTTGTAAACTGTCCAACCCCAACACTCATGATGCTAGTGGGATAATTTAAGTGAGCAAAACCAAGCTGGAGCTTAGGAAGCCTGACAGACCAGCAGGCTTGCTTCCAAGCTCTCATGCCCTGCACCGGCTCCAAGCTCAGCAAAATTATATTACACATTTATATCCACTCCTTAATGAGGTACTTGCCTATTATAGGGCAATAAAAACTCGGCCTGACTCAGGTCTTCTGTGCAAGTCCACGCTGGTGCACTGAGGCTTCCCAATCACCTTTATTTTCCCTGCAATAAAAGGCACAGAGGCTGCTACCAGGTCCTACACAGGGACGTAAAATGGGGACAGACTGGGGGTTTCCCACTCTACCTGAAGAATTTGGTGGCAGGACTAAACCAGAGACAATGGAGCTGGCGAGCTGTGCCCTGTGCTTGTGGGGAAGCAGCGGGAGATGGGTGCGTGCTCAAGGCTTGATGAAGGGAGCAGCAGCCCTGGGTTTGGGGCAGCCAGTACCTGCAGGCAGCCCTGTGCATACCCAGGGCTGCCACCTCCTCTCCATACGCACACACAAGGCTCATCTGGCATGGAAAAAAATAATAATAAAATAAGTAAAACAGATTAACCTATCTGACAGTACAGCGAGGATGTGTCAAACCCAGCCCAGCTGGCTGGCTCGGGGAAAAAAAAAATAGTGGTTATTACTGCAAACTCTATATACATTATTTATCAAACGAAGTCTCTGCAGCAGGTCTACGATTCATTTCCTTGCTCTGGTTGTCTTTTTGATGGTAGAAATCATCCTGAGCCCTGCTATGGGGCTGGGGGTGAGCATCTCTGCTGCTCTCCCAAAATGCTGAGGTTAAGGTATGGGAGGTGGATGGATAAATGGTGCATGAGCAGCGCGCTGCTCGCTGCACAGCCAGTGTTACTTGTGTGGGGGAGGCTGTGTGCTCCGTCCAGGGGAGCAAAGTCTGGCACAAGTGCCTGCTGCTTTGCTGAATAACTGGGGGAAACTCTGCAGAAACTGCAATTGGTAGGAAATATCAAATATTGGAGGGTTCAAACAGTGTGATCCCTGCTGCCACCTGCCAGGTTGCATGTGAATCAGCTGCAGTCCATGGCTTAGCTTGAGTGATATGTTAAAAAGGGAGAAAAATGAGAATTTTCCAGTCTAGGTATAAACAATCTGAGGTATGCCAGAGCACGCACGACCTGAGGGGCGCATCAGGTCTGCTCCTTCTCCACAGTGTAAAAATACACACCCGGGGGAAAATGAATGCAAAGACATGCCCAATGGGCATTTCTTTGCCATGCAGTCCTGTGGCAGCACTTCCAAATCCCATTTTGGGGCCAGGTGCCCTGGTGCCACAGATGAAATCCGATGCAACTCTGCCTTCCAGCAGTGCTCGCCTCCTGCCCTTTGCATTGCCTCCTGGCTGATGCATCTAGCTTCCCAGCCCCTTCCGTGCATCTTTAATGTGCATAATGTCCGTGCAGGGGGGTGATAGCTGGCAGCACTTTGGTGGAGCCAGGATGGGGGCTCCCCAAGTCAGGGAATTTGCATCCACCATGGCTAAGTGCAAGGCTGCGAGGAGGGCCAGGACGGCTCGTGCACTAATGAAACATGACAGCAAGCACCCAGTACATGAGCACGAGGCTTTGCTGCTGTGTGCTGAGAGCAAATGGGGAAAAAAAAAACCACCTCATGCACGTGGCCAAGAGGGACCTGAAGGCAGTGTAATTCATGTGAGATGAATCCACTGGGGATCCAGGCTCTCTCTTGCACTGGGTTCCCTCCATGCTGGAGGATGGCCACGTGGCCCTGCCACCGTCTGTCCATGAGTCTCTGCCTGTGCAAGGATGGGAAGAGGGAGGGATGATGGCAAGGGGAGCAGGAGAGAGAAAGGGAAGGAGGGCAACTCTGCACACTCGTGTGGTGCTGTACCAGATCCCCACACCTGCCATACAGGTGCTAAATGTAGTCATAAGTAGAAAGCAATCACATGGTCATTTGCACCTGAAGTCCATTTAGGATAGGCAAAAACCAGAGTAGCAGAGAAAAAGCTGAGCCAGACAAGGATGCAGGAAGAGCTAAAAGCCCAACTGTTTTGTCAGATTTCTCAGCAGTTCATGATAAATCTCTGTGGGATGCAAAGCGATGGCAGCCCCACCACGCAGCCCCCACCATGCCGTGCCAGCAGGTCCTCCATCACCCTCCAAAATTCATTACCAATGTCCCTGCCAAAGACAAAAATAACATCGTATTTATTTCTGTGCTTAAATTCCAGTTGCCATGTGATTAAGTACTACCACGTAATTGAAGAGGATTTAGAGGGTGTTTGTGCCCTGCAATGCTCCGCAATTATGGTTAATTCCAGCTTTATGGCTTCAGAGCATCACCAGAGCTGCTCCAGGGCCAGCAGAGCTTCATTTCAGGGGTCAGAAACACAGCTCATGGCTGTGTCAATGAAGGGTAGGAAATCCAAAAAATTCTAGCCCCATCCAAAACCCTTTTTTCATGAATTTGGGTGTTCCTGGGTAAAAAGAGTCTACAAAACTCTGCAGCAAGGTGTCTCGTACAGCTGGGTGCTGTGGGCCAGATTCAGGCCTCAGCTGCTGACGTGTTAATGAAATGAGTTTGCCCTAAAACTTTGCGCTCATCCTTTCCCATGGGAGCTTATAGAGGCTATTGATATATGCCGTGAAAATTCAATAAAAGAGTATGTAATGAAAGAAAGATATAATGTAGGCTGTGATCACAAAGGCACACATGAATTATTAAGCCTGCCGAATTTACAGGCAGCTTGGGGAACTATAGATTTCTTCCTCCACATATAGTTGGGGAATGCTGTTAAAAGCATCAGAGTATTTCATGCTTAACCATGCAATTAGTCAGCAGGGGGAGGTGCTCGCTCCCCGGGCATCCCCGGCACAGCTCGAGAGCCAGCTCGCATCCATCCACAGCCCCGGCCCCCCCAGGACTGCTGGGGCACCTGATGCCCCAAAGCAAGGCGTTCAATTTGGTTTCACTTGGAGATGCTCTTGGGCTGTCCAAACCTTAAATCGTCCCCAGCACAGTGCTCACCAAGTCCCTCTTGTGTTCCCCCCTCCATATTTTGCATCTGTGCCATACCTGTGCCGGTCCCATGGTGTGAGTTGTGCCTGCTGTGACTGCATTTGCAAGGCAATAAAAAAGGGGGCCACAGATGCTGCTCGGGACTGCAACCTGTAAAAATAACCTACAATATATATTTAAGGAGGACGTGCTGCAGGATTTTTTTTTCTCTATTTCTTCCTTCAGTGGCCCCTAGGATGCAAATCCTGCGTGCGGAGAGGCTGTTTGGGAGGGAAAGAGAGCACTGGGCTCTGTTACATCTTGGGCAAAAGTGCTCAAACATTTTTCTCAGTTTTAGATTGTTTCATTTTATTGAGCCCCGTGCACATAAATGGTATCAGATTGATTTTTTCGCAGATCCCCTAAGCTGAAGCATTTTGGAGCTGAGCGTTCGACACCTGCCAAACTTGAATTTGAACCTTAATTTAAACTCCTGCCTGGGCTGGCCCAAATTCACCCGCAAACCTGTCATTAATGCGACTTCTCTTCCTGGATAGACAAGCCCTGACCTTTCAAACTGTGCATGCAGCCCCAAATTGTTCCCACAACTCTGTTTGTAATAATAAAAGAAAATAAAGAGAAAGCTCTCCTAGCATCATGCCGTGGAGATGCAACTGCCCCTGCAGCACCACCACCCGAAGCCATCCGTCCACCCAGGTGATGCCACCATTTGCTGCCCAGAAATGAGCGCTGGCCACTCCCACGGGCACTCAGCATGACGAGTACTGGGTTCGGGTCCATGAACCTGGTGGTTTCTATGAGCAAATGGATGTCTTTTTGTCTGTGGGTTGGGGTCACGGAATCATAGACACATCTAGGTTGGAAAGAACCTCCAAGGTGACCAAGCCCAACCATGACATTGAAGCTGTGAGCCACACGACCTGCTCACCATCCTTAGCTAGTCCTCGTGGCTGTGCCCACACTCTCACACTCTCCTCCATCCCACCTGCAAGCACTTCCAGTGGCCAGGCTGGGTTCTCCTAGGCGGCGAGGAGTTTGGGAGGACTTTATTTTATTCCCACCACTGAGTTTGCTCTGCAGCCCTGCAATGGGGCTCACTACAAAGCTCCAGCCTGGCTCTGCGGCACTGGCGTGTGGCCATAATTACTTTCCTACGGAACACACACACACACACACACACACAAAGAAAAAAAAAAAAAAAAAAAAGAGAGAGAGAAAAAAAAGCAGGGAGAGAGGCCAAGGAGCTCGCGGTGAGTCTCGCATGCCAGCAAGTCAATCAAAGGCAGGCAGTGCTAATTAGTCCCTGTGCCACCCGTAGGTCAGCCAGGGCCACCAAGAAGCTGTGGGGGAGGTCAGGAGGTGGTGAGGATTGGGGAGGAGGTGTTGGGGGGCTCTGAGAGCAGCCCCCCCCCGAGCAAGGCTCAACCACGGGGTGTTGCAAGGGTGTCGAAGGAGAAAAGCCCTGGATGGACCCCATGGGGACGTGTCACCATCAAGTTGAAGGCACTCAAGCAGTGTGAAGGGCTTAGCTTTCTGGTTAGTCTCACGAGTGCTTAGTTGTCCCCAGCTTTGGGCAAGTAGCCCCAAAACACTGCTTAAGGTGCACCCACCCCACCTTGTTGTCTTCTCAGGTGTCCTCCTCCTTTCCCTCCCCTGTGAGCATGGACAAAGTCACCATGAGGAGCAAAGGTGAAAGAGGTGGCCACTCCACCTTGGAGTTTTTTCCATTTTATTTCCATTTTTCTTGCTTTGCCAGAAACCATAAACAAAAAGAAAGACAGAACTTACCAAAGGTGTCCCACATGCCTGCTCGTGAGAAGAAAAAGTGCAGCAGGAACGCTGCAGTGATGTGGGATAATAACCCCATAAATGCTGTGAGGTGTCTGAATAGTTGTATTTACAGGAGTACCTCGGTATTGTAGGAGAGGAATCAGTAAGGAAATATTTTCATTGAGCAACAGGGGAAGAGGGAGAGGCACGGCCGCTCCCTGGGGAGCTGGAGAGGAGCTTCAGAGCAGGGAGTAATGGCAGTGAGAGAGGGAAACTGCTCGAGATTATGGCACTTGCAGACAGCAGCAAAGTCAGATCACACCAAAGCAGCACACCTTTATCCTCTCCCATCCCCAGAAACCCAACCACTGAGCTATTGCACCCATCCTGCTAGAGAACCCCAGGTTGTCATCCCACCTCGTCCTGCCACCAAAAGTCCCAGAAGGAGCCTGTTGTAGTGGATGGGGCAGTTCCTACCTCTTGGCACTGCACATGCCTTGGCCCTTCAAGGCAGGTCCATGGTCCCAACAGGACCATGTCTTGGCTCTGAATAATACCTGAAGTTCATGACTTCTTAGAGCTTTGGTAAAATTTCTGGTGATGCAGTGAGGAGCTCTTCAGCTCCTTACACTTTTTTACCAAAACCATGAGGAACCCATTTTCCAGATTTATGTGCCTGGTGGTCAGCACACAATAGTCCCAGCAAGAGTAATGGGGCTGTATCCATCCCCAGCACGAGCAGGATGGCACTGGGGATTTCAGGCTGCAGATAAGGGTGGCCTTTGAGCCAAGATTGGCACCTGGGGGGTCACAGCTGGTATGGAAATGAGAAGTTGTTTTGTTTCAAATCAAAGCAATTTTAACCCATAATCCAGAGCACGGGTAGGAGGTGAAGCCACTTCAACACGAGGGATTTGTCTGCTCAGAGCACAAACCTAAAGGAGCTCAAGCTTGCGTGGTGTAATTTAACGGTGTTTAGCGTCGAGGCTGCTGTTCCTATAGCTACTGGAGGAAGCTTAGCAACCCCGGGCTCAGCTCCTGGGGCACCGAGTTAGGACCTAAGGCAGGGATGCGGCACCTTCACCCGTGCCTTAACCCTTCATACTGCTCAGTACTGGTGTTGCACTGAATGCAGAACCCATAAGGGGTGTTCCTGCCAGATAAACGAGCACGTGAGGCTTCATTAGTACCGAATTAACCATTTTCCTTTAAAAATATAACAGGGATAAGAAGCTGCCTCTGCCACCATTTGAGGGCTGCACCAGGGGTTATTGGGGTGGCACGAAGGTCTGGGCCATCAGCACCAGAAGGCAGGGGCAACATGCCCAAAGGTGGGCAGGGGGAGGCCCACCTGCTCCCCACCAGCTGTGGGTTCCTCCTGGACACAGTCTGGACTTCACCAAAGCCAACAGGGCTGTGCTCATGTTGAGCTGGCCCCACATCCCTCTGGAAAATTCTGCTTCTCTACCCTGAGCACAGCTGCAGGGCCTGTGCCAACAATGCTCCCTTTTCTTCTGTGTCCTCAGGTCCTCCCTCCACTTGGCTGACCAAGGCTGGCTTAGAAGTCTTTTCCCTGTCCCAGAAAAATGGGGACTGACAGTGAAAACCCAGTGCTGAGGAACGTGCTCCTCAGCTTCAACTTGCTACTGCTGGGCACCATCCTCAAGCCTTTCGAGTGCCGGCTGGAGGTGACAACAGAGCCAGCCGAGCGGCCGGCCGTGGATGAGGAGGGTGGTCTTGCCAACTGCAGTCCACCCATCAAAGAGCAGCCCATGGTCTTCCACCACATCTACAACATCAACATCCCCCTGGACAGCTGCTGCTCCTCCATGCTCAAGCCTTCGGCCGAGGAGGTGAGTTCAGAAGACGACAGGCTGGCGGAGTACACGGAGCAGACCTCCGACAGCGAGAGCCAGGTCACCTTCACCCACAGGATAAACTTGCCCAAGCAGGCCTGCAAGTGCTCCACCTCCCTCCCGTCCCTGCAGGAGCTGCTGAGCAGGATTGAGATGCTGGAGAGGGAGGTCTCCATGCTCCGCGACCAATGCAACTCCAATTGCTGCCAAGAAAATGCAGCCACAGGTAGTAATGTGATCCTGTTAGCTCTTGCTGGGGGCTCAGGGCTCGAGCCGAAGGCAGGAGAAATGCAGAGATGGTGATGCCACTCAAAGTAGTGATGGAGGAAAACCTATGTTCACTCATGGCTGTGTTTTTAGGGAAAAGCCCAGCTTAGAGCCTCCAAGACAGGAAAGTCCCCGGGAGGATTCAGTAACTCAAGTCCCCAAGGCTCACTTGCTGTGAAAACCCCATGATCAAAAAGGTACCCGCCGGGCAGAGCCAAAATCTCATTAAAAATAAAATTACATCTGCTGAGGGGTTAGAAGGGTGAGTTCCCCAGCTGTGTTCTCCCCACAACTCTGTTAAAGATCTGCCACTGTTCATGGGGCAGGGAGGGGAGAAATATCTGCTGTTCTTCTTGGCTGTCCCCAGGCTGAAGGCAGCACTGCAGGAGCCAGCAATAAGCTTCTTCATCTTCTCTGCAGGGACAGTCAGTGCCTATGAAAATGTAAGCAAATAAATAAATAAATAAATAAATACAGAGAACAACTTCTATTGCCTTAAAAGACTCAAACAAAACCTATAACAAATGCACAAAACCATCAACAGGATACTTCATCTGAATAACAATGCATGCAATTGTTGAAGCTCTCTGAGAGCCCCCATCAGGGTTTCTTTGGTAAAGATGCAACTCGGTCCCTCTGTAATATGAGATAATGAAATAATGACATGGGTTATGAAATATTTGGGCTAGAGGCTGCCTTTCAGTAGTGCAGGTGCTAGCACACAAGTGGTTTCCTACATCTCAGGTAGCTTCATCAAAGGTGCTGTCTGGAAGGGCACCTGGTGCAGCTCAGTCCTGCTGGGGCGCTCCTGATGTGGCACCCGTCAGCAGTGTGACTGGATGAAAGAGGATGGAAAACACCCATGCAGGCCACAGATGTGTGCACAGCAAGGGTTAAAACCAAGTGGAAAGCACAACGAGAAAAACCTGATTTAAAGGAATTCATTTAAAATACTGATGGGCGAATTTGGGTTGCTTGCAATATACATAGCCCGTCCCATTAAACATTTATCACTTGTTGGAGCCTCCACTCAGATCGCAGATGTGTACCGAGGTAAAACTGGAGTAATCTCATTCATTTTACCCGAGTCGCTTTCAATTCACTGCACTGCAAACGAGACCAGGATCCCGACCCCGCAGCCTGAGGCGCTTCCCCACAGAAAGCTGCTGTCTTCCAGCAAACATACAAGCACCCTCTCTCTTTGATAACTCCACTGGTGGCTGGGCTCTGAAGAGAACCTGATCACCATTCCCGATGTGGGAAGTATTCTGCAAAGCCACCCAAACATGTCTGTCTGGCACAGCATACAACTAAGCCCTTCTACAGGAGTATCTGATGCCTATGCCATAGGCAGAGCTGTAATAGATAGGATGAGAAATTCAGCTGAGGGGACAAAAAGTCCGGTGGTTTGTGCTCTGCATGGTGTAGAGGCTTCCTAAGGGCTGGAAGGGTTTCTCTTCTTCTGTGTTTTACACAGAAAAAGAAAGAAAAGCAGTCAAAATTAGCAGGGGAAAAATAAGTCAGAATGGTAAACCCAAAGCTGGAGCATCAGGTCCATGTCATGGGGAAATAGCGGGAAGCTCTGGCAAAGTCAGAGCAACTTATCCCTTATCCCCATGTGCCCATTCCCTCCCCGGAGCAAGTCTGCTGAGTGACAGGGGGACACTGCAAGCGGTGGCTCCGTGTCTTCCCTACTTTCCCACAACCCCCATGTGCATTGAAGACAAGAGGAAATTGTCCCAAGTTGCACCAGGGGAAGTCTAGGTTAGATATTATGAAAAATTGTGTCATTGAAAGGGTTGTGAAGTCTTGGAACAGGCTGTTCATGGAAGTGGTTGAGTCACCATCCATGGAGGTCTTCAAAAAACATGTAGATGTAGTGCTTGGTGGCATGGTTTGCTGGGAGACTTGGCAGTGCTGGCTTAAAGGTTGGACCAGATGATCTCTGAGGTCTTTTCCAACCTAAATGATCCTGTGATTCTCTACCTGAACCCGTGTGCAAAGCCAACAGCTCCATCCCAATCAGAGTCACCAGGGTAGGGGCAGACATGATGTCTCTGGGTGCAGAGCTGCCTCTTGTAGGAGACCAGGACCTCTCAACTGTACGGTGAAACAGCAGGTGGAGAGGAGACAACAAACAGAGCCAGTTAAGTTGTGCCAGGTGCAGAGGATTTGGCCAGGAAAGGTTTTTGTTTGATTGTTGTGTTTTTGTTTTGTTTTGTTTTGTTTTGTTTTGTTTTGTTTCCCCACTAAGAGGTCTGGGGAGCTAAAAAGAAAGCAAAGGAAGCTCTTGCACCTGACAGGGCTAGTGGCACCCCGTGGAGGCCAGAGCTCCACAGGGGACACACGCCTGAAGCCTAACACAAGCCCCAGCATCGCCCATCCTGCAAATTATGCCTTCTCCAGCCCTAAAGCCACCAACTCCCCTGAGCCAGGGGAGCGCAGCTGTAGGGAGTACCATGCTCCCCCGCTTGCACCCCGTCCCCGAGCCCCAGCGGCGGGGCTCTGACCGCCCACCCTGGGTCCTTTTGCAGGGCGCCTGGATTACACCCTGCCGTGCAGCGGCCACGGGAACTTCAGCCTGGAGTCGTGCCGCTGCGTCTGCAGTGAGGGCTGGGCTGGCAGCAACTGCTCGGAGCCCCGCTGCCCCCGGGGCTGCTCCAGCCGTGGCGTCTGCCTGGAGGGCCAGTGCGTCTGCGACAACGACTACGGCGGTGAGGACTGCTCCCAGCTCCGCTGCCCCGCCGGCTGCGGTGCCCGCGGGCTCTGCGTGGATGGAGAGTGTGTCTGCGAGGAGGGCTTCGCCGGGGAGGACTGCTCCCAGCCCCGCTGCCCCCGTGACTGCTCGGGCAAGGGGTACTGCACCAATGGCACCTGTGTGTGCGTGGAGGGCTATGCCGGAGAGGACTGCGGGTGGTTGCGGTGTCCCAACGCCTGCAGTGGACGTGGCATCTGCCAGGATGGCATCTGTGTCTGCGAGGATGGTTACGGAGGGCAGGACTGCTCAGCAGGTAAGGGTGTGTGGGGTGACAGATCCTAATGTGTGAGGAAGGGCTTCGAAGTGTCCAGAGCCCCATAGGAGCACCACGAAGCTTGGGAGGAACCCATAGATGGTAGAGCACATCATGCAGGACTTGCTCAGGTCCTTGGTCCCTGTGCCCAAATATTCTATGCATAGCAGTTTGGAAGGTGAGTTAAAAGTCAGTGACTCATGTCCAAATGTTGGTGGTAAGCCCCTGTTACAACAGCAGTGCAATTAGGTTCTCCTGGCCCTTTGGCTTGCAGTTGCAGATAACACTACATACTCACAGCTGACCCCTGGCCAAGAGCCCAAACCCACATTCAGCCAAGAGGCCCACCCTCCCTTACCCATGGCCAGAGGATAAGCCATGCGCGTCCTGATGCTCTCCTTCCCTCTACCCTTCTCATCAGTGGCTCCTCCCGAAAACCTGCGCGTGACGGGGATTAGCGACGGCTCCATCGAGCTGGCGTGGGACAGCCCTGGAGCAGCCACCGAGTACGTCGTCTCCTACCAGCCAGCGGGGCTGGGGGGCACCCAGCTCCAGCAGCGGGTGCCTGGGGACTGGAGCACCATCACCATCACAGAGCTGGAGCCAGGCGTCGCCTACAACGTCAGCATCTACGCGGTCATCAGCGATGTCTTGAGCATCCCTGTTACTGCCAAGGTGACAACCAGTAAGTATCTGACTGCACTTGTCACTTGGTGCCCAGATAACCAGGGGTGATGCTTGTCAGGTGGCTGGAGAAGACAGCGCTCGCCCATGTAATGAGGAGCTTTCACAGCAGCCTGTCAAGGTTAATCCATCTCATAATTGCCATCTTCTAGGATGGCTTTCCTAACATAACACATTGCCTTGCCATGTTGTTGTGCAGCTTGCTCAAGCTGACTCACATTTTCCATGAAAACCTTCTAGCAGCAGAAAATTGAGCCTTCAAAAATATATATTGGGAGTATTTTTATCCATATATATATCTGTATGGGGATATAGGAGAGGCAGAGATGTGTCCACTCTCCACGGGAAGTCTCAGTTTGAAAACCCAAATGGCTGAAAATCAAGGAAACATCCACTGTTTAGTTGAAGCCCCCAGAGTCCCAAATACTTTACATATTTGTGATATATCGTACAAGTCACAGGTTTTGCTCCGTATTCTGGATGGAGTCCCCATGACAAATCCCCACCATACAGATGATAGCACAGCAAGAAGGGATTTTGGTGTCCATCACAAGATACCTAGTGCTGTCTGGGACCATGACACACAAGAAGAAAACAGGAATACTGTGAAAACTGTGACAGCAGCCTCCAGAAAGCATCCTTGGAAACTTAAGACAGATAGAGAAGGGGAAAAAAAGCAATCCAGATACCCCTTTTGCAACCCCATTGCTCAGTTCATTTGCATGGTGTCCTTAGTGGCAATGCATCAGGATGCTGCAAGGGAGGGCATCCCCTTCTTCTCCCTCCAGTCCATCCAGAGGGGAGACAAAGGGACAATGACTGCTAACAGGGACCAAGAGGGCCCCATTTCCATCGTCCTGACAACAAAATAGCCTCAGGGAGGATGCCCTGGCCCTCACCACCTCCTGATCCCTTCCAGACCTGGCCACACCACAGGGGCTGAAGTTCAAGACCATCACGGAGACAACGGCGGAGGTGCAGTGGGAGCCCTTCTCCTTTCCCTTTGATGGCTGGGAGATCAGCTTCATCCCCAAGGTACCACTACCCCCATCCCCAGCATAGCATTGCGGGTACACCCTAACCATATTGAGCCAGCAGGGCCAACTACCCTCCCCCCCCCAAAAAAAAAAAACAAACAACCTCGTTTTGCAGTTTTCATGCTTCCTGTCAGACAAGCCCAAACATCTCAAACTCAAATTGCTGGCTTGTGTTTCCCCATCAGTCTTCGTTATCAAGGCATAAGTTCTCAAAGAAATTCCCCCCCCCCCAAAAAAAATATATAAGGACATCTTTCAGCTTTGCTGCTTCTTGCTGCCACCCCCTCTTTTTCCCTTCCGTCTCCTTTGCCATGACCCTTCCTTCTATCTTTCTGCACCCTAAGCCAACCCAAAAAGACCAGACCTAACCAACCAGCCATTAGCTCTCAGACCTCCAGCTTCCTCAAGCCACGTGCTCAGATATTTCCTGCCACGGCATTTTAATTGTGGTGACGAACAGGTAGAATTGGTGCCAGAAAAGATGAAAAGGATGAAAGTGTTGCCCTAAATATCACATATTTTCCATGTGCAGTAACAAAAATTGTACATCAAGTATTTCATCTATATTCATAATTTCTAGACCATTTAGCCATAAGTATAGCTTCAATTGTATATGGAGCCTCTTTATAAGAGGCATTCAATCCTCAGCAGTAAAAGAAATGCTGATTAAGGGCTCAATTATGCCGTTTTCTCTTGTACAAAATCCTCGCTGGAGTCAGAGGCAGCTCTGGGCAGTTAGAGCACAGCAGAACTCGGCCCCAAAGTTTTAACAGCTCTTAACTGCAAAGCGTCATGAGACGCAGCACAAAACAGGGACCCGAGGGCTTGAAATAACTCATTCCCCACTTCCAAAAAGGGCTGGGAGCATCTTGGTGCAATTTTAGATACACAAATTGTGTTGGAAGGCAAAGTTTGGGTACCATGGTTACAAACCTAAGGGCACTGGGACGGAATACAAAAATTTCGTATTTTGGAATGAAATAAGGCTACGCCATGAAAAGGCCACCTGAGCCTAGTAATGAAAACCCAGCGTATCTTTGAAGCATTTCACCAATACGCTTGAATTAATCTCAACAACATTCCCCTGAAACAGATAAATGGGTATAGACACATTTTAGGGTGAGAAATTGGTGGGATAGAAGTAACTTTCTCTCCCACAGTGACATCAGCAATATTTTTTTCTTAAGCCAGCCCACTAATGCAAACTCCCATTTGTCTCCCGATTCCCTTTTTGTTGTCTCTCATTTCCCTTTTATAAGCTTAAAACCAGTGAGAAAGTTTTCAGGAAACAAAGAGATAAAGTGCAAAAGGATGGATGTTCCTTGGGGCAGGTTTTCAGAGGAGCGAAGGGCTGCAGCTCACAGGGCTTTAATTTTAACATCTGTCCATCAGGCATGTGGTCTTGCATTGTAAAGATGCAGTTTTGCTCCTGCTGCTGAAATCAGACTCTCTCAAGTCTCTACCAGTGGCTTTTCTTCCAAAACAAGGCAGAGGGTGCTGTGTCCCTGGCTGCCTGGGAGCCACACTTGCTCAGGCAGACACAAAACCATTGCCGCACCCCAATTAAAAGCAAAATCTAGTCCAAGAGGTGGCAACGTGAAAAAAAATAATAATAATAAATAAATAAAAATATATATATAAAATAAAAAAGAACATCAGTAAAGCAGTGTTGTTATAAATAACCCCTATGCTGTGGGCTTGCAAATCGAGGTCAATCTGCCTTTCCAAAAACAGGGTGTGAGGACACTAATTTTGTCCTTGGTGGCCCCACAGGGGTGTGCACACCCTCCCCCTGAGCTTTCCCCCACTTTCTGCACCCCCACATTGCTATTGGTCCCCAAAAACTGTCTCAGGTGGGGATTGCACGTCTGCTGCTTGTACTGGGGGAAGAAATGGGAACTAAAACCAACGCAGAGATATCTGGGGTAATGAGACCAGCTCTGCATGGTGATCAGTGAAAAGCAGAAGTGATGACAGATTTAGACAAGAAAATTAGGAAAGGTAAGATGGCAATTTATGGATAAAATGGAAGATTTCCTGTTTAATGAGAAAAATAGATTAATATGAATTGAGAGCTATGTGCAGAGATTTGTTTAGTGCATCATTGGTGAAGACAGCAGCAAGAAAAGATCCATTGTCCAAACACTGGCAGGGAAGGTGACATTTGCAGTTACTTAAAAGACTTGGGTTTTTCAGAGCACAAAACACAAAGTATAGCAAATTTAATCAATATACTTAAAAAGGACAGGGTGCCAAAATAAAGATGTTACGGTTTCATCCCTGTATGAAATGCTGAAAGCTCCTGGCACCTGAATAACAGCCATGCAGGCAAAAGGAGTGCAGGGTTTGTTTTTTATTATCTTTTCTGTTCTGGGGAACAGCAGATATACAGATGGCAAAGTACAGAAAGGAGGGGGAAGGGTTGGGGGGGGGGCTAGGAGGAGGAAGAGAAAAAGGGGATGGGGAAGGATTTCTCAGCCTAAAATCTTGGGTGCTTCACACTTCGTGGGTGACTTCACCCCAGGCTCTACATCTCCATGGTGGGACATATCAGTGTGAGGGGTATAGGACTGGATGTGTGGAACCCGCCTGTATTCATCCTTAAAAAGCTTTGTGTGTGTGTGTGTGTGTGTGTGTTTTAACCCATTTCTCATTCTCGATGCTTTTTCTCACCCCATCCCCTGGCAGAACAACGAGGGCGGTGTGATCGCCCAGCTCCCCAGCACCGTCACCACCTTCAACCAGACGGGGCTGAAGCCGGGTGAGGAGTACACCGTCACCGTGGTGGCCCTCAAGGACCAAGCCAGGAGCCCCCCTGCCTCCGACAGCGTCTCCACCCGTGAGTGAGCCCAGCCCCAGGCAGCATGCGGCCAAGGACTGCAGCATCCCATGTTTCATCCCCAAAATAAGGTCCCAGAAGCAAGAGCATCCCTGCAGCCCATCATGGATAAAGATAGTGATGCTTTCTGCAGGGATATTTTGTAATCTGAAAATACATGAGTTTGGATTCCCAGATGGTTCAAAATGAGGGTTTTGACTGTCTCACCAAGTGGCTTCTCTAATGATATTTGAGGATATTTGGATCTAATGATATTTGGCAATGAGGGTATAGCCAACCAGCACCAGTAGCCACATTGCCATACACTGTAACGGGGAGCTTGCAGCCCTCCTGTAGCAAAACCAGCTCCAAAAAAAAAAAAAAAAAAAAAAAAAAACAGGGCCAAAAAGCTGTCCAAGCCAGGTATTTGGGGCATCAGGCACACAAAATTGGTTTTCTTCAATCCAACATCCTGAATTTGGATGCCTAGCACAACCCAAGTGCCCAAGCTAGAAGTGCATCACAGCAATAGACTTTTTGACCCTCTCCCTTCAAATTGCTGAGAGCACAAAAAGAGTAGTGAGGTTAATGGGGTTGGGAGCCATGGCTCTGGTCAGCTTGCATTAATATAGCTGGAGAAATAGAATAATTCCTCTTCTCTGCTTATCTCACCTGAGCCACATTTTGGAGGCGGGACACCCCCAAGAACCGTCTCTGTAATTGCACTGCCTACTCATCTGTAGCAGATTAAAACTCCCACCTGCTTTCATGCTACTAAACACCCTCTACTCCCACCCATTCAGGCAAATTAGGCACTGAGGCAGGGAGCCAGAAACAGCTTGATGAAGAATAAGGTCTCCTCCTCGCCAAGGAGGACATGGCAATGGGCAGAGTGCAGGGAAAAGGTGCTTTCCAGGCCAGAGCTGCTGCAGCCCATCTTGGCAGCCAGGCAAACCTCTACCTCTGCCCAAGCTTTTGCAAATGGAAACAGCATTTTGATAGCTCCCACAGGATTGTAACAAGGTGCTGTTCTCTCTGGGCTGCTAAATTTGAGGTTTTGGGGAGGCAGAGGTGGTGTGGATTGAAGGGAGGGTTCCCCCACCAGCAGCAGCCCCTGGCTTGCTGAAGATCTGGGCTTTCTCAGCACAGTCCTGCTCAGCTTGACACGGCTTAACAGAGACATCTCCTGGTCGAGCCCAAATCTTTCCCATTCCCTAGGAAGGCAGGGAAAAGAAATAGAGAGGCTGGTACATCAAACTCAGTGGTTGACCTTAGTGAGGGGGAGCGCAGCTGGGGCAGTGTGCTCCTGGTTCTCTCCATGAAGGGGTCCTTACACTGGCCTGCCTGCCTTCCTCTGCAGTGCTCCCACAGTGTTGCCCCCACCACCCTTGTTCTGCCTCAGCACCTTGTGCTGGGACCGAGCAGCACTCAATGTTCTCCAGCACCCTGCATCCTGCTCACCCCTGCCCATGCACAACTCCCCCAACACTTTCCCACCCAGGGGTACAGGATTCAGCACACCTTTATTATGTAGTGACATTTCTGATACGTACAGTACCTTGGCCATATTCATATGCAGTACAGTCTGAACTATAAGATCAGCGTGCCTTTTTCCCCACCTTCTGGTCACAGCAGTGATCAAACAGGTTGCCAGCTCGTTAGCAGTGCCATGGCACAGGAGCATCCATCCATGCAGCAGTTAGATGCTGATGGTCCCACAGGACTCAAAATATCCCTCACCTGGGCCCTGGGCCCTTGGATAAGCACTGGGAGGTCCAGGAGGAGAAAGAGCTTGATTCTCTGCAAAAGAGATAAAAATGTCCAAAACAGTCTTAGTCTCTCTCCTGTATGAATGCTTTAGCTAAAACCCCTTTATGTGAGCGGGTTCGGTGGTGGACACCCACCACAGCCCCACTCCCAGCTGGTTACAAGGACCCACCAGAGCAGTGGCATTTTCTTCTCTCCCCCCAACACCGACACATTGACAGCTCCAGGAGCTGATCCCTCAGCTTAGCTACAAAGCGGGAGTTGGCACTGAAGCAGGAACATTTCTAGAGGCGTTCCTCAGCTCTTGATGGTTGGATCAGTCCTTGGCCCCATGTTATTTAACACACTGTCAACGCCTTTCAAAAGGCATAACAGACATAACATCATTGCTGATAAATTTTCTCAATGACAGAAGGGCTAGGAAAAGAGTAAATTGAGTGGAAGGAGATCATCGATAAGAGCAGTTTGAATGGCTTGAAGAGCCTGGCACAAAGGAAAACTATGTTTTTCAATGCGTTGCTGAGTCTGAGCAGTTATCTAGGAGCAAAGAAAATGGACCACAGCTAAACGCAGGAGGTTTTATCCCAGGAAATGCCTCCTGAAAAAAGCCCAAGAGGAATTGTTGCCAACACCCAGCTTGAGAGAAGGGCAGAAGTTTCATTATATCTGTAATGAGCATTGACCGGAGAGCTACTGGGTCTTGCTCTGGTGTTCAAAGCTGAGGAGGAGATAAGGGGGAAGCGGAGAGGGTTTGAAAAAGAGCCAGGAGACTGGAATAGGGGACTGAGAACCCACCAGGACCAAGCCCCTGAGCATCTGGAGTTGGAGAGGTCAAGTCTCTCGCCCACATCACCTTTAATCCACGCCACTCTGAAGGTCAGGTTGAATTCCTGTATCTGCTGCACTCCCTACCTCACCCTCCCCAAATAACCATCACCCCTTTCCCCCCAACCCTCCGCAGTCATCGACGGCCCGACGCAGATCCTGGTGCGGGACGTCTCCGACACGGTGGCCTTTGTGGAGTGGACGCCCCCGCGTGCCCGGGTGGACGCCATCCTGCTGAAGTACGGGCTGGCGGACGGGGAGGGCGGGAGGACCACCTTCCGCCTGCAGCCCCCCCTCAGCCAGTACTCCCTGCAGGCCCTGCGCCCTGGTGCCCGCTACCACCTCGCCGTCAGCGCCCTACGGGGTGCCAACGAGAGCCGGCCGGCCCTCGCCCAGTTCACCACAGGTAGCCGGAGGAGCTGGCCGGGGGATTGAGGCCAAAGCACATGGCGGGCACGTGGGTGGGTGGGTGGGGGGAGTGGGGGCAGTGCCAGCCCCCCTGAAGGCTCACTGAACGCGTCCATGCTTTAGCAGCACAGATTTTTCTCCCCAGCATGAATGAGCTCAGGGTTTGGGCCGGTGCTTGGGAGGAAGCAGCGGGATGGTTAGGGTGCAGGTCCAAGAGAAGACACCTGGAGGAAGGTGTCTTTCATCCCATTACAGAACAAATGGAATCATAACATCATAGGGTCATCTAGGTTGGAAAAGACCTTCTAGATCACCAAGTCCAGCCATCAGCCTGACCTACCGAGTCCCATCACTAACCCATGTCCCTCAGTGCCACATCTTCATGTCTCTCAAATACCTTCAGGGATGGGGAATCCCTCACTTCCCCGGGCAGCACACTACAGTGCTTGACCCTCCCTGTGAAGAAATTTTCCCTAATGGCCAGTCTAACCTCCCCTGGCACAACTTGAGGCCTTTTCCTCATGTCCCATTGCTTGTCACCTGAGAAAAGAGACCAATCCCCCCCTTGCTGCAGCTTCCTGTCAGGGAGTTGCAGATAGCGATGGGGACTCCCCTCAGCCTCCCGTTCTCCAAACTAAACAATCCCCACAAACACAGCAATTTACTTCCCTAATACCACCCACAGATCAGTGTGCACCAGGGAGGTCTCAATTTAAGACAATGCTCCTGTACCCGCTCAGCATTGAGAGCCAAGGCATTGCCTGAAAAATTGGCAATCAAGCAGCTGGAAGCAGCCCAGTCAAAAACGTGGTTATCTTATTTTATATCGTATATGAATAGCCGAACTGGTCAGTAAAACCTTAATTAATGTTGAGCCTGCAGATAGCTAACGGGTTTAATTTACCATGCCATAAAGGAAGAGGTAGAGAGAATATATCAGTGCTCTTTTATGGCATATAAATTACTTGTCATGTACATCACTGGTGGATACTAGGCTCCTATTACAATAACTGCAGTGTGTGAGTTGTGTGTGTGTGTATCTGTGTAGATATGTACTTAGGATGAGATGTTCATTGCGATTGCTTTAGTGAGTTGGCCTTCCTCGCTTTATTTCTAAATGACAGCATAAAAAAACCCTCCTGAGGCCAGACCCAGAGCAAGTGTTAATGCCCTGCTCACAGCAACACTCAGCAGCCACCAGACCCTACCCTGCCCAAACCCATTGCTCGCAGGAGGGATTACTGTGCAAATCCAGGCACACAGCCTCGGCAGCACTAATAAACCACTTGGTCAGCCTGGGCAGTGTCTGAGCACGAACAAATCTGCAAAGATGTTCGAGGTTTTCTAGGAGTTCAGGCCAATGTTTGGTGGCTTTATAGCTTTGGTCCCAATGAACTCATGGGTGGCACCCCCAGGTCTGTGCTGAGTAGGAGGTGACAGCAGATGCCCCCCAGCCAAGGGGACGTGCCACCTGGGTCCCCTCGCCATGGCTCCCAGAGCCTGGTGGTGAGACTGTGCCTCTCTCCCTTGTGTCACGCAGAGATTGATGCCCCCAAGAACCTGCGGGTGGGCTCACGGACACCCGCCAGCCTTGAGCTCGCCTGGGACAACAGCGAGGCGGAGGCACACAGCTACAGGGTGGTCTACAGCACCCTAGCTGGAGAGCACTACCACGAGGTCCTGGTGCCACGGGACACTGGCCCCACCACCCGGGCCACCCTCACAGGTATGCCCCCACCCACACATCGTATTCATCCTCCTCACAAGCAGTTAGGGCAAGGGAGAGCCCAGACTAGCACTACTGTGTCCTTGCCCTGGCCCTGGCACAGATTTGAGGCTGATTTGGGGTTTCTACTTACTGGAGAGAAGGTTTTCCTCAGGACGGAGCTCTATTTTCCTTCCACGGGTTGGGGTGCTGCTCAGCTAGGAGGATAGTGGTGCACCTTGGTGAAGCTGCCCCAGGGTCCCAAACAGAGCTGACAAGGAGCAGAGTGAGAAATGGGGGGAGAAAGGTGTTTTAGATTGATCTATAGAAAAATATTATTCCCCACACCCTTGCTGGGACACTGATACCCCATAATTGAGTTCTTTGCTTTTTTCCAAATCCGCACAAAGCAAACCCAAACCCAGGGATGCCATTTCTGAGCAAGTACCCCCAGAACTGAATGGTCCAGGCTAGCATGCAGGTGTCACTGCGCTCAGCAAACGCCACTACCTCCCACTGCCAGCCTCACCAGGAACATCCCAAACACCCTTTGAAAGAGCACCATGAAGAACCATCCAAGACCTATTTTCCTTTCTCAACTACAACTGGTTGTCTGCCAGATTTGCAGCTCTAGTGGCATTTTAGAGGGAAAAAAATGCTTCTATATTAAAAAAAAATAAATCATTCATTAAGCTTGACACTCATCTAGATCTTCAGTATAGCATGGCACCAGGTTCTTCCACATTATCTCAGGTTCAAACACCTCTGCCATTTGTGTCTACAGGAACAAGTACATTCAGTGGAAAAGTCAAATGCAAACATGCAGTCATGGCAGCACCAAGTCACAAGAAAGGCTGGAGGGGAGGAAAACAATTAGAGCAGTTAGCTTGAAAATGTGGTATGTGAGAAAAATACGTATTAGGGACAGTTTCTGCTGCAACGATGCACGTGGAGAAGTGGGATGGAGATAGAGTTGGACAGTCTAAGGGATGGGGGATCTGGTGACGGTCCCGTGTTCTCTAGGTCATGGGCTGCCTTGCTAGATGAGATGGAGAGGAAGAGAGGACAGCCACTGCAGCTGGCAGGAGAGCTGAAGACAGCCTCTCCGGAGCTTCACGTAGCTTCAAGCACGTGGCAGCCCCTTCCTCTAGGGTTTTCTTACCCCTGGTGCAGCCTGTTGAGGTGGATTTCGAGCTGCTGAGGACCTGGTGGGATCCACAGAATAAAAGCCTTCTTTTGTCCCCAGGAAAAGTGATGAGGAATGGTGCTGTGCAGAGCTTATCAAAAATTTTAAAACCCAGCAAGCCTTGATCTGCCCCATAAGTCTCTTTCCAGAGATGTGAATTGGCACAGCTGTCAGAAATATTGGTGATTTTTCCCTATCCAAAATTGGGAAAAAACTGGGAGAGAAGAGGTAGGGCTGGAAGGCTTATGGCTTTCTCTAACCCAGTGGGAAAGATCAATACACCATTGGGAGGAGATAAATGTAGCTGCCAAACGCCAAGCAGGGGAGATAGACAGACCCAGGAGATGTCCCACAGAGATAAAGCAGCCACCAGCAACAGGTGTAGAGGAAATTATCTTGATTAGCTTGATTCCCATTCCCTGCGAGAGAACCACAGGATACGTCCACCACAAGCAACATGCCTGAGTCAGCTCCCAGCTAGACTGTGCCTTTACTAATTAATGTGTGTTTCATTTACTCTGCATAATGTATTTCTTTTTGAGACACCAACCCTGTGACAATATTTGATGTTGAATCACTACAGAAACAAATACAGCTACTTTATCATTCCCATCTCAGCTCACTCCCTCTCTCTCTCACACAGTTTCTGTCTCGATGCCAGCAATTACCGCAGACCTCAGTAACGGCTTTAATAAATTGGTTATTTCTGAGCTAGACTAATCCCATTTCCCTATCCAAAGGCATCTGGGGGCTTTTAAAAAATGCTCAGCTCTCCTACAACACCCAGAGGAGCTGCTGAGCTGCAGGAGGGCTGGTCATCCCGGGGACACAGAGTAGGGCCCCCCAGTGGGGCCCTCAGCCACGGACTGGGGAGCTCACACCCCAGGACGACCCATCCAGGTGCTGCTCTCATGCACCTTTGTGTCCTTTCCACCCACTGGCAGACCTGGTGCCGGGGACAGAGTACGGCATTGGGATTTCGGCCGTGATGGACAGCCAGCAGAGCGTGCCAGCGACCATGAACGCCAGAACTGGTGAGTTTGGCCCCATTCAGCATAGCCCAATCCTATGCCCCACCACCACCAGCTCCCACATCCCCCATGGGACAACCCGTGCGTGGGGACAAGCATCTGTAACACCCAACCCACAGAGCTTGACAGCCCCCGGGACCTCCTGGTGACGGCCTCCACGGAGACATCCATCTCACTGGCCTGGACCAAAGCCATGGGTCCCATCGACCACTACCGAGTCACCTTCACCCCTGCCTCAGGGATGGCCTCAGAAGTGACAGTGTCCCCAGAAAAGTCACAGCTCACCCTCTCAGAGCTGGAGCCCGGGACAGAGTACACAATCACCATCATCGCTGAGAGGGGACGTCAGCAGAGCCTGGAGGCCACCGTGGATGCTTTCACAGGTAAAGAAAAAGAAGCAGAGCAGAGGCCAAGCACAGGGCTGGCCTTGTTACCAGCCTACACGTCCCTGGCACCACAACGCATGAGATGGTGACACGGATGAGAGCTGGAGGCAATCCATCCACGTGAGAGCATGTCCATGGACCTGAGAAGGGTGATGGCCCTGCCAGTGCAGGGGTCCTGTCCCCCCAGATGCTGGCACTGACCATGCTTGCTTGGCTGGAGGCTCCCATAAGAAGGATGTGAGGCTGGGGGAACTGCCAGTCCCTGCTGTCCTCTGTGGTCAGAGTGGCCCGTGTGTCCATAAGGAGGAGAAAACAGGCCTTGAGGAGCCTCAAAAGCACCTCTAGGAGGAAAAAAAAACAACATGTTTGAGAAGCCCAGACAGCTTACAGCAGGTATAGCAGGATGGCTCCACCACCCATCACACAGAGCTGGGATGGAGCATGTTTGCAGGCAGAGCTGAGCAAAACATAATTTCCTCCTCCCAGTTCTGCCTCTGGATCCCAGTTTCAGCCCACCAGATCACCCAGACCCAGGGCTTTGTCACCTCTGCCTGCTATCTTCCAGGCGAGCACTGTTGCACAGCACTAGGTACAACCTGGAGGCTGGGAACTGCAGTCAGCGTGGGCTGACCCTCCCCTCTCCGGTTTGCAGGGGTCCGGCCCATCACGCAGCTGCACTTCTCCCAGCTGACATCCTCCAGCGTGAACATCACGTGGAGTGACCCGTCCCCACCAGCAGACCACCTGGTCCTCACCTACAGCCCCCGGGATGAGGAGGCGGCGCAGCGGCTGGTGCTCGATGGCACCCTCAAGCACGCCAGCCTGACAGGCTTGCGGCCGTCCACCGAGTACCTGGTGTCACTGGTGGCCGTCCATGGTGCGGTCAGCTCCGAGCCCGTCGTGGGCTCCATCACGACAGGTACCCGCTGGGCACGGGACCCCCCCCGGGAGGGCGGGCGAGGGGACGGGGAGCGGACCTGCCTCCCACAGCTTTGCTTTCTGCTCCATCTCACCAGGGATGGATGCACCGAAGGACCTTAGGGTGGGCAACATCACCCAGGACTCCATGATCGTCTACTGGAGCCCTCCTGCCGCTGCTTTTGACCACTACAGAATATCCTACCGTGCCAATGAAGGTAATGGGTGGGACATCGTGGAGGTTCCCTCTTGGAGGTGCTGTACCCCAGGGTGAATGTGGCCCTGGACCTAAGCTAAGGAGAGGGCTTTAAGAGTGTCCAAATAGCTGCAGCCCATTTTGCTTTTCCTTTTCTTTTGGAGAAGGTGGTGCAAAAGCAGCTGTTGGGGATGGGGAGCAGGGGCAGAGGCCAGTCCCACACCATTGCATGACCCCAGCCACAACCAGCACAGCTCTCCAGATCCCACCTCCTCCACCTGCCTCCCCCAGCTCACCTCCAACCCCTGAGCCCCAGTTTTTGTCTATGATGCTGAAAAGGTCAAGCTAGCACAGGGGCATCCACCTGCAGGCACAGAACCCAGTTGCCCCCAGTGTCAGCCCCGGAGGGGGGTTGGGGCATTGCCCTCTCCTCCCCATGGGACACAGGGACCAGCCGTGTCACCAATGCTCTTGGCTCTGTCCCTGCAGGGAGGACAGACAGCGCTGCCATCGCTAGTGATGCCACCGAGTACAGCCTCCACCGCCTGCAGCCCGCCACCAAGTACGAGATTGGGGTGAAGAGCGTGCGGGGCCGAGAGGAAAGTGAGGTGGCCTCCATCACCACGTACACAGGTGGGACAGGGCTCCTAGGGGACAGGCAGTGATCAAACTGTGCCAGCTCTGGCCCCTGCTTGTGCTGGCAATCAGACAGGTGAGAGTGAGTTGAATCTAATGGTTCTCACTCATGATGAGTGGGGCTCACAAGGGCCCACTGCGGACTTTCAAAGTACGTCTAAGGAAACTTTTTCCCATATATACATGGGTTGTCATGGAGGGAGTAATAAATCCGTGTACCAGGCCAGAGATGTGATGTTGGACACCCATAAGAACCTTTCCTAAAGGAAGTACAGGCTTCCAGAAATAATCCCTGGGGAAAGATGCCTCAAAGCCCTAACACAAACAGCATCTATTGCAAGAATAAAACACTCTGCTATCCGCAGAATCCTCAAAACCTAAAACAAAACAAAACAAAAAAACTAACTTCCCATACCATGCATCAAGAAAACAGTGGAAGACAAGGCCAAGCAGCAAAGCAGTGCAAGCTTTGCTCTCCAGCTAGGGCAGCAATAACTCTTCCACAGGCATGTGTGCCTGGGCATCGAGGCAGGCCCACAAGAAGCCCTTCCAGTTTGCAGTCCAGTCTCTTCGTGCGCCTGACTGTCTAAATCCATTCCCTCTGCAGCCATGGATGCCCCCTTGGGTGTCACGGCCACCAATATCACCCCCACGGAGGCACTGCTGCAGTGGAACCCGCCGCTGATGGACGTGGAGAGCTACGTCCTTGTCCTCACCCGCCACGCAGGTGCGATTAGACCCCACAGCCCTCTGCTGCAAGCTTTGCTGGGACTCCATTTCAGCTCACCTCCACTTCTCCCCCACCCTAATCCTGGGAGCTTGGTGGTCGTCCCCCACAGGAAGGAGTCCCTCCTTTGGGAATGCAGCTGCTGGTGGGTGGTGGGACTTTCTCCATCCCCGGGCACCAGCCCATCCTGCAGGGGTCCTATGTATCTCCACTGCCTACTGCCCAGCCCCATTGCATGGCAGTCCACATGGGGACTGGGATTCTCCCACTTCACTACCTGGCCCGCTGGCAGCCCAGGGGCAAGCAAGTCCCCACACATCTCCCATCCCACACAAACCCAACATGTGGCAAGCCCATGAGCCCTGCTATAGAAGGGAGAGAAAGCAGAGGGCAAATATATGCACTGTGGCAAAATAAGACCATCCTTCAGGCTGAGTACCACCCCTGCTGCTCAGCTCCTGAACATGGTATTTCAGCAATATAAGTTTTTTTGACTGTGAGGTCATGCTCACAGCTGTATTTCAGAGGAGCTCCTATTCTAACTCACCTCTTCTGGCTTACAGTTGCAGGAGAAACAATTCTTGTGGATGGGACCAACCAGGAGTACCAGCTGACCAACCTTCTGCCCAGCACCACCTACACAGTCGTTATGTACGCCACCAATGGGCCCCTCACCAGCCAGACCATCAGCACCAACTTCACAACTCGTACGTACGGACACGTGCCCCGTTGTATGCCCCCAGCCATTTGCCCACCCCAGGAAAAGAGGCCAAAAAGGATGAGCCTAAACTCCCATTACAAATACCTGGGTGTAAATGTAGCCACGTGCCGAAAGGACACCCAAGGACTGGTGAGGACACAACACAAGAACAGGAATTCCAGCACTGGAAACATTAATCTTCAGTTTCATTCTTTCAACATCCACCCACCCCTTTCTTTGATTTCCCCTGGATGTAGTTTCCCGAGAAGACCCTTGACCTGGTCTCCCTCTTTCCCAAAGCCACAGTCTCCAACTGTTTTAGTTTCCAAGGAGCTTGATAGACCCAGTATCACATGCATTTCAGAGACTCCACTTCAGAGAGCATGCAGAGGGCTTTTAGAGGTTTGCAGAGCTCTGCAGGGGATGGGTGATCAGGGCTGGAAACTGAGGGCAAGGATGGACTTTGGGCTGTAGCACGGGGTTGGGGGGGTCGAATCCCAACCCACTGTGATGGGGAGCAGGTTTGAGCAGGCTGGGAGGGGGGGAAGTGTGTGAGGACCTGTACTTCCCTGTGTGCCCATCCACCCTTGCAGTTTTGGATCCTCCGAGCAACCTGACTGCAAGCGAAGTCACTCGGCGGAGTGCCCTCCTCTCCTGGTTGCCTCCCGTGGGAGAGATCGAGAACTACATCATGACTTACAGATCGACCGACGGCAGCCGCAAGGTGAGTCCTCCCGGAGAGAGGGGCTCTGTAAGGCGGGGGACACCGAGATCACGGAGAAGCAAGCAGGGGAAACCCAACAAAGCAAAAAAAAGACGCTCTCCAGGCCAGGGAGACCAGAAGGGCATACTACGCTCTTCAGGAGCAAAACTTACTTAAGATAAACAATCAGAGAAAGCTGAAAATGATTGCCTAGGGCAAAGTCTCTGCACACACAGGCAAGTCTGGACAAAGAGGGTATAGCTGGGAAGTCTGAAGGAACAGACAAAATTCACAGCTTGTGAAAGACAACTGTGAAGCAAGATGAGGCAGGAAAAAAAATATCCAGCAAACAGAGATGTTAACAAAGTGGTTTGCCCTTCTTGCAAAGATTAAGATAGGTACAGACAACTAATTAATCCCGCAATACAATATATTTGATTACTTAATGAGTGTGTCCATACCTGTCTGCCTGGAGGAACTGCTACAAACACTAGCAGAAGTGTGTCACTGCAAATTATCTTACTTCCTTTGCCAGCACGACTGGCTTGCAGCAGCCAAAGGGCAACAGCTTTGCAGAAGGGGTTCAATACAACGCTGTGTGGCATTGGCTGATGACCAGAAGAATTAACCTGACAACATCTGATGGAGCCAAAACTGTCTGGTATCCAAGCTTGGCCAGCTCTGCTCCTTACAGTGCTTGGGCAATCAGTCATGCCCAGTACTGAGGATGTGCAGGTCCCAGCACTGATGGTAAATAGAGCACACAGAATGCAAGCATTTAAACCTCCTGCATCTGAACCAGCCAGCTTTGTCTTACCTGCACCATCCCAAAGGTGATCCACTGGCCTCCTGCTGACTTAGTCCAGGGGTCGTAAGCAGCCATGCAGCATCCTCAGCCAGGCACCAAGGGCTGCAGCTTCCCTTCCCTCCTCGCTTGCTCTTTAGGCTCCCCATCGTTTTTCTCATCTGTTGCTCTTGGTGTCTACCTCCTTCTGGGACCCATGTACAGGAGCTGATTGTGGATGCCGAGGACACGTGGATCCGCCTGGAGGGGCTTTCTGAGACCACAGAGTACACCGTGCGCCTGCAAGCTGCCCAAAACGCCATGCGGAGCGGCTTCATCTCCACTACCTTCACCACAGGTGAGGCTCACACCACTCATCACCCTTATGGGCTGTTCCTCCTCAAGCAGCATTTCACCAGATCCACAGGTGTACTCGTTTCCATGACCCATGGTGCTGCCGGGCACCCACTCTCCCATTTCCACCAGGCCCTTTGCCTTGCCCTTGCCTCTCCTCAAACAGGTAACTAGAGGGAAAAACATTAAAGTTGACAACATGTGCCACCACAGTCTTACAATGAGCTGGGAGAGACCTGGTTCGTCTCCCCACACTGTGGACATGGTTTGACCTGCTGTGAATATCAAGGAGGCGCATCTCTACCACCTCTAGTGGAGGCAGAGCAAAGCAGAGCCTGTATGCCTTCAGGACTGTGATCCCACCGATTTCGTCTGGTTGCATTATTCCTCCCCCATCCAATTAGAGAGAAGTCACGATCTGCTAAGGCAAGGGGAACGGTTTCCTTTCTAAATCAAGTGGTAGGTACTCACAGCCACCACAGTGCTCACACGTGCAAGAACAAAGCTTGGATGAAAATGTCACTGTTGCCCCCACCCTCTGCAAACCGTTCACGTTAGAACCATGCACTTAATGGCCAGAGTGCATTTTGTTCAGGGCTGAATACAATTGCATTTCTGCTGGGCTTCAAAAGCACTGAGCAGCCAGAGGATGATGCCCATGCCCCTGCACCAAAATCTCCCCCATCTGTGCTGCCAGTTCGATTAAGAGAGTTTTCTTTGAATCTGCTGTGAATACACTTCCCCATCCTCGTTACATGCAAAGGTCCCCTCACCTGCTTTCAAGAGATAATAGAAACTATTTACGTCAACAAAAAAAAAGACAAGACTCTTTTCTATGGATGAGGCTCTCCTGTTTTTCTCATCTCTTATGTGGGCGCATAAAGCCAGTGCAATTCAGGCAGGCGACGGAAAAATGTGTGTAATCTTCGAGGCTGCTCTGGAGTCAGGGACAGAACCTCCCAGGGATGGCTTCTTAGCAAAGAGAAATCAGCAGAAACCCACTCACATCAGGCAATGAGAGCACTGCTTCCATTAAACAAAAATTTGGGACCTTGATGGCATTAGAGACATTATTGCCAGCTAATGCAGCATCTGAAGAGAGGTTTAATTTGCCTTAAGGTAGGCGTTAGCAGGAAACCAATTTCTCCCTATCTACCCCATAGAAAAGGAGGAGTTGTGTTTGAGGAGAAAAAGAAAATGAAAGGGAAAAAAAAAAAAAAAGGCTTAATTTAAAATGTTTTGCTTCCTTATGCTCACAGTACACATCCCAGGTTTCCTCCATTCCCTCTGACATATTAATAGCTCTGCCGCTTTGTTTCATGTTTGCATAAGGTTCTTGGGGAGTTGTATACAGATGGGACAAAAGGAAGAAACAGATACAATATTTATAATTTATAGTGGTTTGAAATGCCTTTCAAGGTCTGCTTGGCTCTTAAAGATATGAATATAAATTAAGAAACAAGTAATCTCCACAGAGCTCAGGGGAGCCTAGAGTGGATGTCTTTGAAGCAGTTTTCATTGCTGAATGCTACAAAATGTGAACGCTGTCTCACCAGACCTTGTGCTACAAACTGCAGAGGCAGGAAAAAAATAGGGGATCTCCAATATTTGGAAAAAACGACCACCTCTGGGTCTTCAGGGCACAGGGGTTTGGGAAGTAACAGATGTTCTGAACCCTTGTCCTGGTGTCATGCAGTCAGGATGGGTGCACACAGCACATCCTTCACCCCCTCTTGAGGTCTCCTCTCGAGAGGCTCTTGAAAGCCAACATCCACGTTGCCTACTCTGTACCCTGTCATCTGGACAATGAAAGAAAAAAAAAAAAAAAAAGATGCAGGTCCCCTTTTCACAGTAAATGAGAAAGAAAATGAACACAGAGCTGACCTCCTATTGCTGCCGAGATCTCACAGTTGAGACTCCCTTAAGCTCTGTCCCCCAAATGAGATGTCTTCAACGGAGGATACCTGGAACATGGCCACAGAGCTCATGCTGTCAATCTCCAGCATCTCACGTGAATGAATTCCTACTCAATTTTGAAGTGACTATCAGCCCAGTGCAAGTCTGACATCATTTACAAGGACATCGATCAGGAGCATTCCCCTGGAGTCAGTAAAATCATAAAAACTTATTTAGAGTTGGCAATCCTAAGAGGAAAACAGGTTTTGGTATTTTCACAGCTGTCCAAATAGGCCAGTGACAGCTTAAACCCCAGGGTTTCAGACACGGTGCAGAAAGATGGGCCAAGAAGTGAGCCTCATCACTCACCATGATGTTACCGCACACCTTTCCAATACAGGATGTGCAGGAGATTAATTCATACATGCAGAGATTATTCCATTACATTCTCCAATGCTGATGGATGTAAAGTGGCCACCGCCTCGCAGAATAACATGGGACTTGGCAGAAGCCAAGTTAGACCCTTCCTGGATTGTAACCAGCAGGGCCCAAGACATGCGGAAAGGTTGTTCCCCTGCCTGATTTATAATTTTTTTTTAATTTTACAGGTGGCCGCATCTTTGCCAACCCTCAGGACTGCGCCCAGCACCTGATGAACGGAGACACGCTGAGTGGCGTCTACACCATCTCCATCAACGGGGACCTCGGCCAGCGGGTGCAGGTGTACTGCGACATGACCACGGACGGGGGCGGCTGGATTGTGAGTAGCGAGTGCACCAAGGGCAGGCTTTGATGTTTTCCTTCTCCCTCAGATGTTGATTGCTTGAATAGTGTCTTTCCTGGGAACACAGGCTGTTCCTAGAGGAACAAGAAGGTGCTGTGGCCCTATACTGCCTGCATCATGACAAAACCCTAGCTGCTCCCCCAGCTCTCCTCACGGGCAGCACCTCCAGCAGCACAGCAGCCCCAACATCACCCCAGAGACTGCAGCTCAAAGGGAACAGTGACAGAACCACTCCCTGCAGCCCCCGTACACGCTGTCCCCATTGCAAAGGAGCCAAGCCCCATCCTGCCAGCAAAGCCGAGCACCACGCCGCGCAGGAACAAGAGCAGGCTTAATATTGCTCGCTTCGTTTCACACGCCATGGGGAATGGCCCACGCTCCAGTAATAATAGTTACACTTGGAGAAATGCCCCTTGATTTATTTGACACATTTGCAGTGCTTTTAGAGAACAAAATCTGTGAGTGAAGCTGAGCTGATTTATTGTTTTAGAAATGAAATTAATGTCTACGAGCTTTCATAAGGAATGATTCACACTGCCTGCAATACGATGGTGTCAGGCATCACCCAGATTGGGTCTGCACAGGAGCATTTCAGAGGCAAATGCCTGTTTTGCTGTTGAACTGCACAATCACTGCTTGTTTTGACTTAGATGGACTGGCAACCTAGGTAAACAATGCTCTGGCACTTTGATGTTATTCGTGTCAAACACTCGCTCACATGTATTACCCAAACCCCCCCTAGATGTACAGTCAAAACAAGGCAAAAAAAAAAAAAAAAGTGCTTCCTCAAACGCTGAGTTCTTGCAGTGGTTTTGTGTTTGTTTCTTTTTTAGCTGGGAAATTTCACTCTGCTTCAGAGTATCCCCTTGAGTATCACAGAGGAGCCGGCCAAACAGAAATCACGTGCTAGAAAGCCAGAGAAACTGTGCCATGGGTACAGCAGGGAGTTTGAAGCTGAGTCTTCCCTCCTAGGCCCATCATGGCATTAATATGCCATAATCTTCTAGCTTGTCTTTAGCTTACCTGTCTGTATCCGAATTGACTGCATGGCTGAAATTAACAGCCCCCAGCTGGGCATTGCAGTTTTCTCTCCTGAAAGGCTCTGTGAAAGGGCAGAGCACGCCCCGGGCTGTGTGTGTCCCAAAGCCCAGCTAGCTCATCCCACTTCTCACCGGGCTTTCCTCCGGCTTTTCCCTGCTGCAGGTTTTCCAGAGGCGGCAGAACGGACTGACTGATTTCTTCCGGAAATGGGCAGATTACCGCGTCGGCTTCGGCAACCTGGAGGATGAGTTTTGGCTGGGTAAGACCTTCATCGAGGTGCCAGGTTTGAGCTCACTGTGTTGGCACAATTTCCTCCCCGGCCCCAGATGTCTCTTCTCACCACTCCCCTGCACTCCCCAGACCCTTTTCTTTCCCTTGTTTGTTCCCTGATGCTGTGTCGGGAAAGCACACATGGGCACAGGACCAAAAAGCACGCTGTGAAGGTGCCCTGGGTGCTCCGTGTGGCAGCTGAGGAGGGGTCATGATGGGGCTCCTCATGAGGCAGCACTTTCCCTTTTTAGAAGTTGTGATGGAGGACCACATCTCAAAGATCTCTCCCAGCCTTAGCCAGTGAGTTACCCGAAGTAGGAAAGGGGGGAATAGGAGATCTGACCCATCTCTGAAATGGAGCATTCTCCCCCAAGATCTAAACACAAGCCGGCCCTGCAGCATAGCCACGCTCTGTCTCATGCCTCAGCTGAAGCCCAAGGTGGGTGGGCAACACCAGCAGCACCAGGGCTCCCCCCAGCTTCAGCAGCATGCAGAGAGCTGAGACTTGAGCCCACCTCCCATAGCCACAGAGAGCTGAAGCTTGAGTGGGGACAGAGCTCAGCCCCTACCAGTGCCTCAAGAGAGAAAGGCTTAACCAGAAGTTGCTCTCTGGCTCCTCTCCTTGCTCTCACTTCCCAGAAGCAGTTTATTTGCCTGGAGCTTTTTTGTTTGCTCTCAGAGCAGACCCAGGTGCCACATCTCACTGCTTGTCTCTCCAGGCCTGGACAACATACACAAGATCACGTCCCAGGGGCGCTACGAGCTGCGAATAGACATGAGGGATGGTCAGGACGCGGCGTACGCCTATTACGACAAGTTCTCCATCGGCGACTCCCGGAGCCTCTACAAGCTCCGAATAGGAGACTACAACGGCACTTCTGGTAC